TCTTTACAAGAGCCAGGTGAAGCCGAAAATAAATTAATGCTGCCAAATATTGCCAGGAGCTGCCCACTCTTCACTTTCCAGTCTCGGTAGAGTTCAAAAGGGTCTACGCGTCATTGTGGATGACGAGTTATTTTCCACAATACACTCCCTTTTTTCACAGACGAAACGTCACAAGCCTTTCCCTAATCTATTGCTATTTCTATGGACATTCCTTAGTACCATCAGTTCTAACCATCATTGCTAAGACCAGCTATGCCACGCACATTGTAGCGAACTAGCCTCTCCTTCCCTTTGTATTTCATAGGTGAGATGTAATTTCCACTCCAGCAGCTTCTTCGCCCGAACCACCGCTTTGTAGAAACGACTCCCAAGATGACGCTTTCTAGATCAATACAATCTTAAACTTGTATCTTCCCCACATATCCACATAAACTATGCCTCTTACCCTGAACACTTTACCCCGAGTAGCTCTTGAGCCTTGTGCAGAGGGAACATCAATGTAATAAAAAACAGATTAACATAGCGTAGAGTTATAAAAAGTAGGAAATTGTGGTGAACCATTACCGCCCAAGTCCTAAAGATCCATGGTACATAAAAGAAAAATTATGTCTTTAACTGAAACCTTATCTATACTTGTGTCTTCATCCGTGTTACTTTAATCAAATTCTTACGGTCCTAGTGTTCTGATTACATACGTGGTGTTTTCTTGACAATGATATACAAGGCTCGGGAGACACTCTAGGTAGAGGGTTACAGAGTTTTAGCATTCCAAGTGTTATCTAAATTCCAAGGAGAATTTTCGTTATTCTACGTATTGCTGGTCTTTTTCTTTATTTGCCGTACCCCAAGGACGTAGGTGATATGGCTCTCCACAATTTCCTGTACCTTGCTGTTCTAAATAAATTCTGTCTTTTCTTTATTTCTAAATTTTTTTTCCGCTGTTCATTTTCTCAAAGCTCGTCACGCTTACTATGCGTTGTTTTGTTCTGTTCCTCTTGTCCTCAGTCTGTCCTGTGAGTAACAGATTTTCCAAGCCCTCCCTCTTCATTTACGTGACCCAGAAATTTCAGCTGTCTCTTCTTGATGTTAAAGGTATGTTTTCTTTTTGTTTCCATTTTCAGCGAAACGCCGCCGTTTCGGTTCGTGGTAAGTTTTATTGTTTTTTCACAGTGACAGTGCAAAATAATCTTCATAGAAACGCTTCTTGATGATTGGTTCGAATTCCAATGACGTCATATCGACTAAATACCGGTCGATTATGGGCACGTGGCTGAGTGGTTAGCACGTTCGTATTCTGGCCATAAGTCCCGGGTTCGAATCTCACCATGTTATCGGAAAGGATCGAAGTGGATCCCAGCGCGCGACACCTTTGGAAAGTGCTTGATTAACCATACCACGGGTTGACCCAAGTCTTGTGAATGAAATTGGGTAGACAGAACCATTGGGGCGTCGATAGCTGTGCTAGCACGAAGTCACAAGTCATCGTGGCCGATGGCTTCAGCGTGTTGGCCCTGTTCAAATTGTTGATCACGCTAGATAAAACGCTCTTTTACAGAAACTGTAAGTAAGGTCTGCTCAGCATAATTGCAGTATAAACCACAGGTGAGCTCTGTAGGTGTTGAATAAACACAAATGTGCCTGAACAGGCGTCTGCAATAGGGATTGGTTAACCGCCCTAATAAACGGATATCCTCGAGTACGTGTGGCCAGCTATACACACATACATACGCAGATAGCGGTCGATTAGTGATGAGATCCTTGCGGTTATAGTTTTAATTTACCTGATGAAATCTTTTGTTTTTGTTTCAAGATAGTTTATTCTCATTCATATACGATCTTTTGTTTGTAATGTGTCTAGAGAAGTATTAATGTGGATAAATGAAGACTGGTAAAAATTTTACTGTTCCAACTTTCCAAAGAGAGCAAGCCTTTATTCGATACGAGATTGTGGATTTGATTCAAGGGCAGTACGATGAAGATTAGTTTTAGCGGAGAAGTTCAAACCCGTACAATTGAATAATTCGCATTCAATAAGGTACATTTCTGAAAAATTACCGTTTTTGACAACATATAAGACGCACGGGTGTATAAGACGCACCCCAATTTCAGCAGGGAAACTCAAGAAAAAAATTAATTAGTAAAATTATTAGTAAATGGTACAGACTATGCTATATTTATAAGGTATTATTTTTATTAAACTAGCCATGATTACAATTAAACGAAAAATAAAAGGAAAAAAGAACAGGAGCCTATAAAAACTTTATTATATCCAAAGGTAAGAAAACAAAATAAAAATCAAGCAATTATTACAATTGAGCAAAATAGTACAGTTACCATTAAAATTTTATTAATCTTTAAATCTATATAATTCGCCGTCTTCGTTATCAAAACATTGATACTCATTTTCAGTACTACTACCATCGTCGTTAAATAATGCGTCATCTTCCGTTCCATTGAGAGCATTTCTAATGCCACACTTTTGAAAAGATTTTACAACAATTTCTGGTCTAATATTATCCCAAGCTTGCTTCATCCATTCGCAGACTTGTGCAATGCTGGGTCTTTTTATTCTTCCTGTAAGTGCAAGGTCGTAATCAGGCATTGCCATCCAAGTGTTCCATTGCTTCATCATGTTTAAGTCTAAGTTAATAGTAATTGACAGGTAGCTAAGTTCGACCGACTACCGCGAATTTTAAGCCAAACTATGGCGTATAAAACGCAGGGGAATTTTAAAAGATATTCTTTAATAAAAAAAAAAAGCGCGTCTTATACGCCGTAAAATACGATACGCAAAAGTGAGAAAGAGAAAGTAGGATGACTATGTTGCGCTTTTATATTAATTACGGAAGGCCTAACTTGCTTGAAAATTAGGAGATTGCTTAAATAAAATGGTCCATTTGTAAATAATAAAGGAAACTATTTTTGCAAATAAGTTTTGTATATTAGTATTTCTCAGACCTTCCTTAATCTCGGCACCAGTCAGAATCGAAAAATATGATATTGTAAAATCATTTTAAAAAGAGGGGGCGGTTCATAATAACAATATAGTGAAAAATCGATTCATAGCTTTTATCGAGTTATTGGACTTAACTGTTATTTACAAATGTTAAAATTTGAAAGTATGGCAACAGCATTGATTTCTGATTTTTTTTTCAATTTTCAGAATTTTTAAAACTTAAAAAAAAAAACTCTTTTTACTGCATCAACTTTTTTTTCAGAAGCACAGGCAAAACCATTTGAGGTTAATAATTTTATTTTAAACCAGCAGCATGGCCTGGCGTCGCCTGTACTTGATTCAAAAATCGTACGACTCATACAGCACTCGCTATCACTTGACTTAAAATATTTTTGCCCTTCCTTGCCTTTAAAGGAGTGCCCTTTGGCGTGCTGATGTTGCTACATGCCTTACTTTTTGCCTATCTCACACTGCGAATTTTTTCTAAGCTATATACTAAAGATTAAATCTGTTAAGAACTAAACAAAATGAACACAAAACGATCAGCTTTAAAAAAGGACTCGTAAATGGAAAAACCGAATGTAAAAAGAATGTTAACAACAAATACTTTTTCACACCCAAACCAGTTCTGCGGAATCAGAATCAACGTTGAGATTAAGCAAGCGAATGAGACAATTGGAGTAAAGTGCCATGCAGATTTAAATTTTTCCCACTTGTGACGAATGAATTAATTTTTCCTTATTACGTGAGACCAGAGTTTTATATATTCTGTAATTTCGCCCTGAAGTAAAAAAAAAAAAAAAAAACCTGGAAACACTGGTCTAATGAATGCTTTTATGTACAAAAATGATTTCCAAAACCTGGACCTGTCTATTTAAGTAGTGCCAAAATTAGTATGGAATTCTTGTCTACTTCACCTCGTTTCGAACATTGACCACTGACGCCAGTAACAAATAGGCAAGTATCGGTACAACAATGCCTACGCAGTCATATTAAGACGGCAGAAGTTCGATTTCTTGAGATTTGTAATTATATTTTCTTTTGAATGTTTTTAGACAACTTTATTATAGCGCAGCAAACGTCGCCATTTTCAATTAAAAGATTTCTTCTCTATACGCGTGTGCGATGCTCTGTGTGTATAGCAACATTTCTTTAATTAAATTACTAGCATAATACACTGGAGTTGAATGAATTCTATTGTGTTATTAGCCGCAAAGGAATAGTATTGCAAACGCACAAAATACAATATCTATCTATCTATCTATCTATCTATCTATCTATCTATCTGTCAGTCTGTATGCCTATCTATCTATATACCTATCTGTCAGTCTGCCTATCTATATATCTATCTATCTGTCAGTCTGCCTATCTATCTATCTATCTATCTATCTGTCAGTCTGCCTATCTATATAACTGTCAGTCTGCCTATCTATCTATCTATCTATCTATCTATCTATCTATCTATCTGTCAGTCTGTATGCCTATCTATCTATATACCTATCTGTCAGTCTGCCTATCTATATATCTATCTATCTGTCAGTCTGCCTATCTATCTATCTATCGATCTATCTATCTATCTATCTATCTATCTATCTATCTATCTGTCAGTCTGCCTATCTATATAACTGTCAATCTGCCTATCTATCTATCTATCTATCTATCTATCTATCTATCTATCTATCTATCAATCCATCTATCTATCTGTCAGTCTGCCTATCTATATAACTGTCAGTCTGCCTATCTATCTATCTATCTATCTATCTATCTATCTATCTATCTATCTATCTATCTATCTATCTGTCAGTCTGCCTATCTATCTATCTATTTTCTTTGTTATCATTCTGTCTGATGGGAAAACATGATAGAAAAATGAGAAAAAGTAAAATAAATGAAAAAAGAAAATCAACTATAAATGTTATGTAATGAAAGAAAAACATCCTTAAAAAAGAAAAAAAAGGAAGCTTATAAGAAATAAAGAAAGAAATCTGATAAGAAGGAAAAAAGGTATATATTTAAATAAGGAAAACTCCAGAAGAAAGAAAGAATGGTCGATTTCTATCTATCTATCTATCTATCTATCTATCTATCTATCTATGAAGATATGTCTATGAAGATATGTCTGTTTCTATATATCTGTCTATCAACATATGTCTGTTGCCATCTATCTAGCCAGCTAGCTATCTATCAACATGTGCCTGGTTCTGTATATCTGTCTATCAACATAGTCTGTTGCAATCTATCAACATATGCCTGTTGCAATCTATCTATCTATCTATCTACATACGTCTTTTTCTATCTATTTATCTACATTTTTCAGTTTCTATCAACATATATCTATTTCTTTTTTCATTCATTCATTCTTTCTTTCTTTATTTCTTTCTTTCTTTCTATCTATCTATCTATCTATCTATCTATCTATCTGTCTGTTTCTATATATCTGTCTATCAACACATGTCTGTTGCAATCTATCAAAATATGCTTGTTGCAATCTATCTATCTATCTATCTATCTATCTATCTATCTTTTTACATCTGTCTGTTTTATCTATATATCTATCAACATATGTATATTGCAATCTATCTATCTACATATAACTATTTCTGTCTATCTATCTACAGTTTTCAGTTTATCTCTATCAAAATATGGCTGTTTCTTCAATCTATCTATCTATCTGTCTATCTATAGCAACGACGAACCTGATCAGTACTTGGATGGGTGACATCTCGAAAATATCAGATGCTCACCTGCGGCCGTCTTTGTAGGTGAAATTCACAACATTAAAAATAAAATAAACTGGGCGTCTATTGAAACATGCGTATCCAGTAAAAATATTTCGCTTAAGGTACTAAGAAATAATTTCCTTTTGTCTATATTCATCGGAATTGATGGAATTGTATATGTGCAACAGCACGTGGGGAGACAGAAATGTAAATATCTATTATGTTTATTTATTATTTGTAGTAAATGTTTCAGAATTCATCGTGGATTATTTAGCAATCAGAGCACTTTTTATACATGCTAGTCTAGGTAAATTGATTTCTTTTATTTTTTTTTAAATAAACCGAATTTTTTTCGTTAATTGAAATTATGGCCTTCAGTCTTTTTTTTTTTTCCAAAATCTCTTTAGTGTTTATATAATCTTTTATTTTAGTAAATCTAGGTTTCACCTATGTCTTTTTTTAGGCAGTCATTACAGGTGATAGTGTAAATTCCTGTTTCAAGTTTTCGGTTGTTATTATTTTTTATATTCATTAAGTTTCTTTTTGTTTTAGCGGTAGTTGTTAAAAAATGCTATAATTCTTTGCAATTGTATTATGTTTGCCAAAAAAACTTTTTTTTTAAGCGTTTCACCCCGAGAAAGGCGGGAATCCACTAGCACACAAAGGGTTACAGAGAGTTGAAGCGAGAGCAAAGAGGAGTGATAGAGGAAGGATGAAGAAAATGATAGGGGGTAGATCAAGGCACCTGGAGATGTCGATTGACATTACATTTAAATAGTTGGAAATTATAGCTATCAGGGAGACAGGAAAGGGAGAGGGAGTTCCACAGGCGAGAAGTGTGAGACATGAAGCTATTGAAGTAGAATAGACGGCTACATTTAACATTTTCGACAGTGAAAGGGTGAGAGCGAGATGCCAGCCTAGTTGAACGCTTAAATTCATGAAGTCTGGGAACCATCGAAAGCAGCTCTTCGGAGCAGTTACCATAGAAGTATTTGTAAAAAAAAAAGGCAGAAAGAGATAATCTACTTAATAAACCGAACAGACATTTTGGCCAACACAATAATTTTCGTCCAGAGTATGACGATAAACTACATACACGTCCTGGGTATGACGATAAACTACATCTGCGTCCTGGGTAAGACGATAAACTACGTCCAACAGCATCCCCAAACCCAGATCTCGTCCTGGGTATGACGATCAACTATATCCGTGTACTGGGTATGATGATAAACTACACCCACGTCCTGGGTATGAAGATAAACTACATCCGCGTCCTGAGTATGACGATAAACTACATCCGCGTCCTGGGTATGATGATAAACTACGTTCAACAGCAAGGACTCTGATAATACGTTTTTGAAAAAATAATGTTGCCAGCTGTACGTTTTTGAAAAAAATATTACCAGCCATACGTTTTTTTTGAAAGAATATTGTTGCCGGCTATACGTTTTAAAAAATAATAATATTACGAGCTATACATTTTTGAAAAAATAATATTACCAGCTATACGTTTTTGAAGAAATATTATCATCAGCTATACGTTTTGAAAAAATAGTATTACCAGCTATACGATTTTGAGGAAAAAATATTAACAGAAATAGATTTTGGACAAAACAAAAGTATTACCAGGAAAAAAAGTTGTCGGCATTAAATGAGACATTGAGGTTGATGTGCCGTAAAACAAACCAAACCAAACCAAACCAACCAACCAAACCAAACCAAACCAATAATTTTCACTGCGTCGGTAGGTCAATGGTCCTCAACTTCTCTGCATTCTCTGGTTCCCAGACTTCATGAATTCAAGACCCCTACGAGGCTGGCACCCCGCTCTCACCCTTTCACTGTCGAAACTCCTAAATGTAGCCGTCTCTTCTACTCCAAATAACTTCATGTCTCGCACCTCTCGCCTGTGGAACTCCCTTCCCTATTCCAGTTTCCCTGTGAGCTATAATCTCCAGCTATTCAAATGTAATGTCAATCGACATCTCCAGTTGCCTTGATCTATCCACTACCCTTCTCCTCATCCTTTCTTCTATTACTCCTATCTGATCTTGCTCCAAATTTTCTGTAACCCTTTGCGTCCTAGTGGCTTCCCGCCTTGCTTGGGGTGAAACGCTTAAAAAAAAAAAAAAAAAACAAAAACAAAAAAAAAAAACATGAATTGTTTTTATACAAGAGTCTTACAACTTTAAAACGAATAGAAAATCTTGATGGATTTTTAAACTTGACTGCACGTACAGAAATTTCTTTAATTCATGACTAATTATTAAATAAATAAACTGAAGCATATTTCGATAAAGAAAAAAGTTCAATAGTATACAAGAGTATTTTAATTCAACAAGCATTTTGTAAATAAATAAATAAAATAAGATAACGGGAAGAAGTAAAAAAAAATCCCTCACACTGAAATATTGAAATTTCTCTGTGAGGGTTGGAGGAGAGAAATTAAACCTTGCTCATGAACCACACTGCTAGATAATATATCTTGATTTGGGATGTTTGGTTATATCTTTCATTTTTAACAATTTGAGATTTCTCTTCCAGGCTAAATATGTAAATATTTACTAATGTAAAAATGTATAGAAAGTGCACTGATTGCAGAATCATCCACGGTTATTTGCGTCCAATGCTCTTAAGACATTTATGTTTTCTTGGCAGATCTGCTGTCGCAATGTAGGATATTTTAAACTAACAACGGCAGAATTAAAAACAAAATCGTCGGGAAATTGAAGAAAATCGGCTAGAATCAGTGTTCCAGACACATTTGATATCTATCTATCTATCTATCTATCTATATATATATATATATATATATATATATATACCGGACACTATTCGTAACATACTTGTTGTCAACACTAATATAATAGCATCATCTACATGCAAAAAAGACTAAAAATAATGGAAACCTTATTAATAAAAAAACAAACAAAAAAAACAATACTTAATAATATTAACTTTGAACATGGACACAATTTCTTGACCGTGTTTTGAAAAATGAAAACATTTTATAAAAAATATATGCAACAAACTATTTCTTATTTAACACTTAAAATATTTAATCCTTGAAAATGGTTAAATGTATAGCCGAAAGCGCTCGGATAAAAATAATATTCGGACAGTTTTTATATAATTTATCATCTGAAAAGAAAAAAAATTATTTGATCGCATGAGAAATTGTATAAAAAACTAAATAAAAGCACCTTGTCTTGTCGGATTCAATGAAATGTGCATGATAGAAGGATTGCTGCTTAAATACACACACACACACACACACACACACACACACATATATATATATATATATATATATATATATATAGAAAGTGGAAAATGTCTATCTACCTATCTATCTATCTATCTAAAAATAGCAACGACAGAATTTAAAACAAAAGCGGAGGGAAACTGAATGAAATCGGCGACAGTCCGTGTTCATACATATCTCTATCTTTCTCTCTCTCTCTCTCTCTCTCTCTCCCCTCTCTCTATATATATATATATACAGTGTAACCCGGATATAAGAGAGTTGTCGGGACCGGAGAAGAAGTCTCTTATATCCGGGTTTGGTCTAATTTATATACATTAACACAGGCTCTAATTTGGGACAAGAGAAAATCTCTCTTATATCCGGGTTTCTCTTATATCCGGGTCTCTTATATCCGGGTTACACTATATATATATATATATATATATATATATATATATATATATATATACAGTGTAACCCCGATATAAGAGAAATGATTGCAAAAAAAATTTTGCTTGAAGATGGAACAGAGCTCACTTTAACTCAATTTAATTCAAATAATTATATTGAAGTTTTCGGCTCTTGTTTTGAAACATGAGACCTCTTATGTCGCGTGTTGCAATCATATTTTTAAATAAATAATTATATCATATTATATATATATATATATATATATATATATATATATATAAAGTGGAAAATGTCTATCTACCTATCTATCTATCTAAAAATAGCAACGACAGAATTTAAAACAAAAGCGGAGGGAAAGCTGAATGAAATCGGCGACAGTCTGTGTTCATACATCTCTCTCTCTCTCTCTATATATATATATATATATATATATATATATATATATTTCATGATTTCATCGGACTAAGTTTGTTTACTGTTAGGACTACACAAGCACCGTATTGGATGCTGGGAATTTCATTATTTTGTCATTTATTATTATCAGCCAAATTTATTTTTCTTTCTATTACTTTTGTAAGGAGGTCTTCCACACAGTAAGATTAGAAGATCTACCAGCAACGATGAAAATGTTTTAAGAGCCAGGCCGTCAAAAAAGAAAAAAAAAAAATTCCCAGCCCACCTCTGCTGTGCGCATGTGTAGTGCTAACAAGATAATAAATTCGGTTCGATAAAGTCCTGAAGGACGAAACGCATCCCAGTTAAACATTTTCCACTTTGTCATACAATTTCACACACAAAATGGCGACAATCTGATTTATGCCTGGACGCAATCTTCAGATTAGATCGACGTAACACACATTTTAATGAATAAAAATGGGCCGTATATTTCAAATGCAGAAGTGACCACTAGAATAACATTTAAAATAATATATATATATATATATATATATATATATATATATATGTGTGTGTGTGTGTGTGTGTGTGTGTGTGTGTGTGTGTGCGGTATTTAGTGGAAAGTGCTCATTATCTGCGATAGAGCTAATATATGCCATTGCATGGATGTAAGTTGCGTAAATACGTGTGCTCGTACGTATGAATGTGTAGCTGCACCCAACCCAAGATTATGGATATGGGTGTGTATGTACGAGCTTACACGCATATGCCTGTATGCATATGTGTCTGTGTATATGTGAGTATTATCCCAGACAAACACAGAAGAAAATTTTTCTCCCTCCATCACACACAAATAATCAAACACAAAAAAGCATAAATAGATGCACTTTTGAAAAAAAAAGTCAACA